GATTACAGATTCACTTGCATCTAACTGGGCTTGAAAAAAGTGATTTTTGTGTCTCGTATGTTTGAAATATGAATGACAATGTTGTTGTTTGCATTAACCAGTCAGTGTGGGTCTTTGTTGCCCGCAGTGGACCTCGCGAGCGTCCTGACGCCTGAGATCATGGCTCCCATCCTGGCCAATCCTGAGGTTCAGCAGAGGTTGATGCCCTATCTGCCCTCCGGAGAGTCCCTGCCTCAGAGCTCAGAGGAGCTGCAAAACACGCTGAGCTCACCTCAGTTTCAGCAGGTGAACGTCCTGTATAGTTTTTTTTTAAACAGAGAGGAACTGACTGTTCCCTTCAAAGTGATACAGTTTCCTCATTTGTCATTTAACACTGCTGTAGCTTTGTTCTTCTTTTATTATAGTGTTTGGTTTATGTGTCATATTATATCCACATTTTTTGCACCTGTAGCAGTTTCAGGCTGATAAATGCACAAATTTTCTTACTAAACCTAAATATTTTATTGTCCTTGATTCCAGAAATTTCATCTGAACTGAGATACGGTGTGTTTAAGAGGATCCAGGTTGTTGGCATTTAGCATCTTGTAGTGGCATTTGTCCTTATTGTTGGTATTTATGGTCTCTCTGCAGGCTATGAGCATGTTCAGCAGCGCTTTGGCGTCCGGGCAGCTGGGGCCTCTAATGAACCAGTTTGGCTTGCCTGCAGAGGCCGTCGACGCTGCTAACAAAGGAGGTCAGTGTTGGCTCATGTCGCGCAGAGACGCTGTATCTGATTGTTTCAGCTCTGCAAAACTTAAAGGTCAACAGCAACATTACGTTTTGTCAGCCGTGAAATGTAAGAAACATTTAATAATGTGCAGCAAGTGAGGCGATTTTTAAAGCACACTAACACCGAAAAGTTTGAAGAACGGCATGCAGCTGTCCTAGCGGACGCTCCAAACCTGTTTGGGATGTTAAAACTTGACAGCATAAAAATCATGCTTACTGCTGTTTGTGGCCTCGATTGTTTTCACATCGACAAATACTGACATCTACAGTGGTATGCAAAAGTTTGGGCACCCTTGATCATTTTCATGATTTTCCTTCATAAATCCTTGGTTGTTTGGATCATTTAAATATATCATATAGCAGATGAACACAATGATATTTGAGAAGTGAATTGAAATTTATAGGATTTACAGAAAGTGTGCAATAGTTACTTCAACTAAATTAGGCAGGTGCATAAATTTGGGCACCACAACAGAAAAATTACATCAACATTTAGTTGACATTTAGCCTCCAAACACTTCTGATCGCTTCCAATGAGAGTCTGGATTCTGGGTGAAGGGATTTTGGACCTTTCGTCTTTACAAAACATCTCCAGTTCAGTCAGGTTTGATGGTTTCTGAGCATGGACAGCCTGCTTTAAGTCACACCATAGATTTTCAATAATATTCAGGTCTGTGGACTGAGATGAACGTTCCAGAACGTTGTACTTGTTCCTCTGCATGAATGCCTTAGTGGATTTTGAGCAGTGTTTAGGGTCATGTTGAAATATCCAGTCCTAGCGCAACTTCAACTTTGTCACTGATTCTTGAACAATGTTCTCAAGAATCTGCTGATATTGACTGGAATCCATGCAACCCTCAACTTTACCAAGATTCCCAGTCCCTGTACTGTCCACACAGCCCCACAGCATGATGGAACCGCCACCAAATTTTACTGTGGGTAGCAAGTCTTTCTCTTGGAATGCTGTGGTCTTTTTCCGCCATGCATACCGCGTCTTGTTATGCCCAAATAACTCAGTTTTAGTTTCATCAGTCCACAGCATCTTATTCCAAAATTAAGCTGGCTTGTCCAAATGTGCTTAATCATACCTGAAGCGACTCTGTTTGTGGCATGTGTGCAGAAAAGGCTTCCTCTGCATCACTCTCCCATATAGCATCTCCTTATGCAAAGTGCGCTTAATAGTTGAACGATGCACAGTGACACCATCTGCAGCAAGATAATGTTGCAGGTCTTTGGAGCTGGTGTGTGGGTTGACTATGACTGTTCTCGCCATCCTTCACCTCTGCTTATGTAAGATTTTCCTTGACCTGTCACTTCCGGCCTTAACTAGAACTGTCCCTGTAGTCTTCCATTTCTTCACTATGTTCCTCACAGTGGAAACTGACAGCTGAAATCTCCGATAGCTTTTTGTATCCTTCCCCTAAACCATGATGTGGAACAATCTTTGTTTTCAGGTCATTTGAGAGTTGTTTTGAGGCTCCCATGTAGCCACTCGAGAGAGAAGATGCAAAGATGAGGAAAACTTGCAATTGGCCACCCTAAATACCCTTTGTCATGACTGGATTTACCTGTGTATGTAGGTCAAGGGTCAATGAGCTTACCAAACAAATTCTATGTTTCAATAATTAGTGCTAAAGGTATTCAAATCAATAAAAACAACAAGGGTGCCCAAATTTATGCACCTGCCTAATTTAGTTTAAGTAACTATTGCACACTTTCTGTAAATCCTATAAACTTCATTTCACTTCTCAAATATCATTGTGTTTGTCTGCTATATGATATATTTAAATGAAATTGCTGATCCAAACAACCAATGATTTATGAAGTAAAAACATGAAAATTATCAGGGGTGCCCAAACTTTTGCATACCACTGTATCTGTTGTGCGACAGAGCCCGTCCAATAAGCTTGTGCTTAGTTTTTTTATTTACAAGTCAGGTCAAAGTTTATTTCTACAGCACATTTAAAACAAGCTCAGCTCACCAACGTGCTACACGGACGTTAAAAAAGCCATTAGAAGCTATACTAATGATATACTGAGATGTTCAAACTTTAAGGGTATTAAGGGTACTGGGGAGCTTATCAAATGCTGTCTTTGTGGGAGGAAGACCGTGTTTTAAAGTGAATTAGTGACTGAGCAGGTTGTTCTGTTGCATCGATCGCTTTGGGGCTTAGCTCTGTGAATGTCTAAGAGCAGTAGTAGGTTTGTAATGTAGCATCAGGGCTCTGGAAGGATTTTGGGGCTGCTCAAGAGGGGGGCGCCAAACCAGTGAGACTCTTAAAACAAGTAATAAAAATTTAAACCAGCCTTGAGGCTTAGGAGACCACCTTCTCTACCAAATATGGTCACCTCTGGCTGTGAGGAATCAACGTTGAGTGGAGGGCGGCCAGAATACTAACACTTATGCTTCAAAAGTGAAGTCCAGAAGTTTTCTTTATGGGTTTTAGTATGTCGTCAAAAAAAAATATTTTTTTTCAGAGTTCCTTCTTCTTCTTAGGCTGAGTTTCCTTTTCCATGCAGGTGGGCACACATGCAGAAGTGTGTGTATATATATTTTTTTTTTAATCTGGCTGAATGGCAGACGCATAGTTGGTCCATTTATGTGTCGCAACAAATCAGAGGGCATGCCGACGTCCGCGCGGGGCCTCCTGCTCGCCCTGTAATGATCAAATGTGCGTCACTCAGCCTCAATAGAAACTGCCACATTCCTGCAAGGCCTAAATTGTAATACTGGAATGAAAGATGAAAGCCTTTCTGTGCAGGAGCGTGCCAGAAAAAAATCTCTCTCATGCGTATGATTTAATGAAGCTGCCCGCTGAGCAGCATGTACTTCGCTGTGAACCTCCAGCTTCTGTTCGTACACAGTGTCGTATGAAATCTGACGTTTCCTTTGTGTTGAGTCCCCACATGGAACAGTCGCAAATTGTTGGAACAAGAATGCTTCAATTCTGTTTTATTTAAGATTGTCATCGACATCACTAGTCTGATTTAATCCTGCTTTAATCTGTTCAGCAGCTGTGCTAATGTGATTGTTATTTGAAAAACTTGAACAATCAGCCTTTGATCAACAAAGAAATACAAAGGAGCTGAAACTGGGCCTTAGTACACCAAGGCAAATATTACATTAGCAATAATCCATGAATAGCTGTAGGTTTTATCTCTGTTTTAGATCAACTTCATGTGGTTTTATTTTTAATAAAAAGTTTCGTTTTAAGATTACACCAAACTTTGACAGCTTAATTTTTGCAAATTATGCTACTTATATAT